TTGAAAAAAGATGAAGGTCATTCGTTTGAACAAACTTGGTAGCCCTTCATCCCAGCATGTTACTGGCCAAATAACATTATCCTTTCCCTCTTGGGTATTCAGAAGAAGTTGTTTAAAGGTTTTATACATATTTGACCCCTGTGACCTTGAAAATGGGCAAAGGTCATTCATTTGAAAAAACCTGGTAGTCCTTAATCCCAGCATGTTAATGGCCAAATATCATCACCCTTAGCCTTTTGCTTATTGAGAAGGATTGTTTATAAAGGTTTTTAACATATTTGACCCCTGTGACCTTTAATATATGTTGAGGTCATTCGTTTGAATAAACTTGGTAGTCCTTCATCCTAGCATGCTACAGGCTAAATATTATAACCCTCATCCTCTTGGTTATTGAGAAGAAGTTTTAAAGGTTTTAAATATATTTGACCCCTGTGACCTTGAAAATGGGTGAAGGTCATTTGTTTTAACAAACTTGGTAGCCCTTCATCCCAGCATGCTAAAGACCAAATATCATCACCCTAGGCCTCTTTGTTATTCAGAAGAAGTCGTTCAAAGATTTTAACATATTTGACCCCTTTGACCTTGAAAATAGATGAAGGTCATTCATTTGAACAAACTTGGTAGCCCTTTATCCAAGCATGTTACTGCCCAAATATCATCAACCAAGGCCTTTTGGTTATTGAGAAGAAGTTGTTTAAAGGTTTTAAACATTGTGAACCCTGTGACCTTGAAAAAAGATGAAGGTCATTCGTTTGAACAAACTTGGTAGCCCTTCATCCCAGCATGTTACTGGCCAAATAACATTATCCTTTCCCTCTTGGGTATTCAGAAGAAGTTGTTTAAAGGTTTTATACATATTTGACCCCTGTGACCTTGAAAATGGGCGAAGGTCATTCATTTGAAAAAACCTGGTAGTCCTTAATCCAAGCATGTTAATGGCCAAATATCATCACCCTTAGCCTTTTGCTTATTGAGAAGAGGTCGTTTATAAAGGTTTTAAACATATTTGACCCCTGTGACCTTTAATATATGTTGAGGTCATTCGTTTGAATAAACTTGGTAGCCCTTCATCC